TCCATTTGGCACTGAGAGCAGGAGGAAGGGTGACTCAGAGCTCCTGCCCCCTGCCAGAAGCCGCGGCCTCTTCCACGCAAGGACAGAGCTCAGAGCTGCCCCCTCCCGGGCCTGGGCTGAGGGCCCCGTGTGCCCTGGGGGCCTCTCCTCCGTGGCCCGAGTGCTGGGGCCCGAAACACTGCTCCTGAACGAGAGCCAGGCTTGAGAGCACCAGCAGGGATCTCTGCCCTTGTCCCCGCTGCTGGACACCTGCCCACCGCCTGCCCTCGCAGCCCTGGTTCAGCCTGGACCGCGGAGGAGGGTGTGAGGTGGCTGAGCCTTCCAGGGCCCACACACCCTCTGTGGTGCCTCTGGGCTTCCTGAGAAGACGAGGACAGGAGAGGAGAGGAGGGGAGGGAAGGGAAGGGGAGGGGAGGGGAGGGGAGGGGAGGGGAGGGGAGGAGAGGGGAGGGGAGGAGGCAAAGGTGGGTAAGTGGCCACAGTGGTCAGCAGCGAAGGAGGCTGGGGGCTCGGGGCTAGGGAGGTTCTCTCCCACCAGGGCAGTGGGTGGGAAATCAGCGAGAGGATACCACCGTGCTGACACCAGACACCTCCCCTGGGAGGGACAAGCCCCCAGGACAGTGGCCACTCCCCAGCCTGGCAGGACATTAGGACAGAGAGAGACAAAACCAGCCGGCCAAGTGAGATCAGGCAGGCCCGAAGCTTGGAACCTCAGTAAAAATGCCCACCTGCCCTGGGGGATGGAGGGTCAGTTAGGGAAGGGGGGAAGTCTCTGGGGTCAGCCTGGAAGAGCTAAAAGTCCCTGTAGGCCACCAGGCCCAAGTTCATGGACCAAATGACGACCCGAGCGACCAGCTCACTCAGAAGAGGTTCCTGACCTCAGCACCGCTGACAGAATGGGACAGTGACCCTCCCAGTGTGGTGCAGCGACATCCTCCCTACGGGCCATCGGAGCTGGCCCTGGACACTCTGTGGTTGTTTTGTTTGGGACCACACCCAGCTGTGAGTGTGACTTTGCGAGCACATGCACACGTGTCTCTCAGAACTGATGTCAGTGGAGACCAGGTGATGGCGAGAATGTGCCACTGTGACCACTGAGACCACTGAACACTGAGTGGGCACGCAGGTATGGCTGGGCCTGGGCGTGACTCAGAATGTGGACGTGGGGTAGACTTGGGCCCATGCATGTGGACATGGACGTGGGTCTGTGCACGTGGACATGGATGTAAATGTGATCTGTACCACGGACGTGGATGTATATGTGCACATGGATGTGGGTCTATGCATGTGCACATGGATGTGGATGTGGCTCTGTGCATGTGGATGTGGCTCTGCACACGTGGACGTGGCTCTGCGCACGTGGACGTGGGTCTGTGCACACAGACGTGGGTCTGTGCATGTGCATGCAAACGTGGGTCTGTGCATGTGGACATGGATGTAAATGTGATCTGTACCACAGACGTGGATATATATGTGCACATGGACGTGGACATGGGTCTGTGCACGTGGACGGGGACGTGGGTGGGCACCTGCTGTAGGTCTGAACATGGACATGGTGGCCCTGGAAGCTGCCCTGGGGCAGAGCCACTCCTGTCCAGTTCAGAGTCCTGGGGTGGCTTGGGGAAGAGGAAACAGATGGGAACCCCCCAAGGGGTGCTGGGGGGGCTGCAGCCTGGAGCCGAGGGGCTCAGGAGACAGGCCTTGAAGCTGCCCTAGCCCCAGGCCTCCGCGCTCCCAACTCTGAGCTGGGCCTGTGCAGGCGGTGGGCATGCCAGTGTCCGGCGTGACGGATCGTGTTTGGCCAGAGGGTAACGAACCGCTCGGCCCAGCTACTCTCCCTGCCCAGGGGGACCTCGCACAGGGCCACCTCAGGGGCGGGAAGGTCCCGGCTCCATTTGTCACAGCTCCCGACTCAGCCCAGGGGAGCTCACGACTAGATGAGGGGCAGCGGGCAGTCAGGCGTGGTTTGTGGGCGCCAGGGGTCCTGAGGCTGCCCCAGTTCCCGGCCAGGGGCCCTTCCGTGCCCTGGCCTTGGCTCTCCTCCCTCCCTTGGTGGCAAGCAGGACTGTCTCCTCTGCCTCCTTGCCCTCCCCACAGTCCTGGTTCCTTCTGGACACGCAGGCTCATGAGCAGAGGCCGGAAGGGTGCTCACAGCTGGCGTGGGGCTGGGGCAGGGCGCATGAGCACACTGGCCCCATCTACTCTGTGCCCCCCTCTGCAAGGCTCTGTCCTGTGGGGTCACCCCAGCCCCCGCATGCTGGCAGGTCTGTGCGCAGGGAACCAGGAAGGGCAACGTCAGCAGGAGCAGCACCAGCTTCTGGGGCGGGGGGTGGGTGGGGGGAAGGTGGGCTGGGGCACTGCAGGAGGGAAGGGCCTAGCCGGTGTGTTGCAGCAAAGGGAGATGATCCTGGACACAGACTGCCCCTTGCTCCACGTCCTTGGGCCTTCCCAAGTACAAGAACCTGGGAGTGATAGTACGGTGGGGAGGGGCCTGCACGGGACCAGCCTGGATTCAATCCCTGGCGTCCCATTTGGTCACCCGAGCACAGTGTAGCCAGGAGTAGCCCCTGTGCATCACCAGGTGTGACCCCAAAAGGGAGAGTACAAGAAGCCTTCGCTTTGTCCTTCTTTCTCAGTGTCGGGCATTCTGGATGGACAGGCTTGCAGTAACGACAGTGGGGAGGGGTGGAGAAGCTTCTGGAAGCCCCAGTAGGGCTGGGATGGTGCTGGTGCCCTCTAGGGGGCGGCTCAGAGGAGAGTCTGGGGAGTACAGCAGCAGGAGAAGTAGGAGCAGGCTCGGTGGAGAGTCGGTGACCTCCTGGACTGTCCAGAGAGGGGGTGCCTGCTGAGGTCTGCAGCCAGGAATCTTCTCTCAGAGGCCGGGGCGCCTCGAGCACCCAGTCCTGGATATTTTGGGGAGGGCAGCAGCAAGAGCCCTGGGCAGTGTCATGTGAGGGACTAGCCTCAGTAGCTCTGACAGGAGCAGCCCCCGGCAGGGGCCTGAGAGCCCGGAGAAATCACCCAGAGGGCTGCAGGGGTCTCGCACGGGTCCTTCATCCTGTGGCTCCTCCAGGGCAGGGCGCGGGGTGAGGCAGGATGGACCCAGGAGGACACTGTCCTTTCCTGGTGAGGGAGCTGGGCCAACAGCCACGGAGCTGCAGGGACAGGGCAGACAGGATGGGGGCAGGGGTGGGGGCAAGGCCGGACAGCGCAGGGGACAGGGACTGGGGCAGGGCACAGGGACGGGCATGGGGACGGGGACAGGGCAGGGGTCAGGGACGGGGTCGGGACGTGGGCAGGAGGAACACATACCCCAGACACGGTGCCTGGCTTCAGGGCAGGGGCGGGGAGGGAGTCTGGTCTCCTGCAGGTGCCGAGGGGAGGGCAGTGTAGGGCCCCTGGTGCACATGTGAGCACGTGTGTACGAGTGTGTATGTGTGCGCATGTCTAAGCGTGTGCAGGCACACGTGAGCAAGTGCACGAGTGTCTTGTGTGCATGTGAGTGGGAGTCTACATTTTCAGGCACATGTGAGAACATGTGTGTGAGACAGTGTGCCCGTGAGAATGTAATGTGGGCACACCACACATGTGAGTGCACGTGTGTACAGTATGTATAGTGTACAGAGTCTAGGCAAGCACACGTGTGTGCATGTGGTATGTAATTAGCATGTGTATACATGGACATACATGAACACATGTGAGTCCTTTGTGCACACACGTGTGCTCATGTGTACACACAGGTCAGTGCGTGGGGTGGTGGGAACAGAGTTTTGGAAGCCTTCCTGGAGGAGGTGGTGCTCTGGCAGGGCTAGCAAGTGTGTGCGCTTCCTGGGAAGGGCTGAGAAGAGGCTCAGCTCTGCCTCACCGGCACCTTACTGGGACTCACTGGGGTGAGTGTGGGCTGGACCTGAGCCCTGGGCCTGCCCAGTCTGGCAGGAGGGGCAGAGGGAGGAGACTCCCTGTGTGGTGAGCTCCGCCTGTCCCTGGCCAAGCCCAGCAGAACCCGCCCTCGGTCCCCCCTCAGTGGCCGCAGGCCGAGTGGTGCCTCAGAGGACAAACCCCAGACCTGGCGCAGCTGGGCTGGTGAGGGACCGGCTTCAGCTCCCCCGCGGCAGGGGCTTCCCGAGAGCAATGACATCAGCGAACATATGGGTGTCATCGGCATGGAACAGCGAATGACGGGGAAAGTCAGAGACCCTGCGCCAGGAGAATCCGAGCCCAAGGAGGCCTGCTTTGTCTGGGAGCCAAGGCGTGGCGCTCTGGGGGTCCCCACGCGCAGACCGGCCTGGACCTTGCAGGGGTCCCTCCTGGCCGCAGCCTGGCCTCCTCCCGCCTCCGGCATCTTGGCCCACGCGTGCGCCCCGCTCCTCCCCAGCGCCAGTCTGGGACGCCTAGCCGAGGCTGGGGACCCCCACCTCGTCCTTCCTTAACCTCCCGCTCGGAGAGGGTCAAACCCCGGAGCACCCGAACTCGGGTCTCAAAACACCCCGCGTTCCCGGGGCGACTGCGTGGAGGGCGCGGGGGCGCGCGTGCTGCGGGGGCCGCAGGTGCGTCCTGCCGACCGGACAGCTCGGCGGGCTTGGAGAGAGCCCCCACCCCCTCCTCCGTCTCCGCATGAAACCGGGTCGGGGTCCGCCGGCCTCTACGCGCCCCCGCCTCGGCTGCTCCAGGGTTTACGCGCGCGCAAGGCCACGCGGGGCCTATAAATAGAGGGGCAGCGGCTCGGGCGATCGATGCGGCCCCATCTCCGCGCCCTTCCAGCGCGCCGCCTTATCAATTATGGACGAGTCCGGCCCGCCGGGGACGCAGCCCCCGCGCCCCGCGCGCCTCAATGGTGGTTCCCTCGCCGGCGGCCACCGCGGCAGGCGGGTCCGGTGCCACCGCGGGAGGGCCGCGTCTCCGAGCCGATTCCTCCTGCCCTCCAGCCGGACCGGGAAACGGCCGCCTCCGGGACGCGCGGCGCAGGTAGGCGGGCGCGGGGCGGAAACAGACGCCACATCCCATCTCAAACAATAATTTTTATTTTATACTTCTCTATACTTTGTAGCAAATCTTTTATTTTTTGCTGAATTTAATTTATAATAAACTTTGTTTAAATTACATCTCTCTTTGTTTTTAAAATCAAGGCTCTTTTATGTCAAAATTTTTTTAACTATAATTTAGATGAACATTTGACATCCCCCCCTGCGATCTATCCCGATGGACGGTACTGGATGGGTGACGGCTAGGGAAGAGGCGGGCAGAAAGGCTGTGGGCAGGCGGGGGTGCGTCGTCCCTGGCGGGGCCCGCAGCCTGTCCGGGCGGGGCTTCACCTAGACAACCAGGTCCCCCCACCCTTTTCCTCTCTCTCCATCCCACTCGGCCACACGAAGGGTTTTCTCGGAGAAATGAGCAGTGGCGATGGTGAAAACAAGGTAGAGTGGCAGAAAGCCGCTCGCTGGGGCATCCGCTCGGGCGCGCGGGGACGCGGCCACCGACCCTGCCAGGCCTGCCGCGCCCATCCCGGCGCGCGTTCCATCCACATGGCGACTAGAGGTGGCCCAGGGCCGTTCCTGAGATTCTTTTGCCAAAAGGAAAACGGAAAAACCTAAAATTCGGAAACCAATGGGGGCGGGTCTCTGAGGCGGGTCTTATTTTGGTGTGAAGACGAACGAAAGCTGAGTGAGGCGCGGCCGGCGGGGGGGCGCGCGCGGGCGGGCGCGCGGGCCGGAGAGGTGGCACGGGGACCCGGCTTCCCGCAGTCCCGACACGCGGCGGGCGAGGTGGCACGGGTTGTCGCGTCCCCGAGAGTGAAGGGCCTTTCCTGGGCGTTCCGGGAGGTGGATGGTGGGTGGGCGCGGGGGACGCGCTCAGAGCAGCCAGGCGGCGGCCAGAGCTGCCGAGAGCGCGGCCAGCAGCACGGCAGGCGCCGGGAGCAGGACGCCCGAGGCCGCGCTGCCGCCGCCGCACAGCTGGAACATGCTGCCCTGGAAATTGAGGTTTTTGGATTCTTTTCTCAGTTTATCCCACAAATCTTTGGCCCCATCCTGGCAATCCGTCAGGGCCGTGACAGTGCAACTGTGGAAATCCTCCCAGTATCTGGCGAGGGGCAGAAGAGAAGAGAGGCAGGTTCAGGCCCAGGCCCGGGAAAGGCCGCTCCGCCACCCGGGGCGCGCGCAGACCGGGCTCCCCTCGCCGCGCCCACGCCGCTCTGGGCCTTTGTGTCCCCCTCCACCCCTGCCGGCCCCTGTTCCTCGGGTTCCCGCTCCCGCAGCGTCCCCAGCCCCCGCCGCTCCCCCTCTCCTTCCTCGCTGCTCCGGGCCGCACTGGCGGCGCCTCGGACCTCTGGGGTCTGCCGGGCGGTGTGTGGGTTGTCGCGCGCTCTCCCTGCGTCTCCCCGCTCCTTGCCTGGACGACCCTGAGGGCCTCGAGGACACCCTCCCTCCCGCTTCGGGGGCGCGGCACCCGCCCGGACACTCCCTGCCGCGCACGGCCTGGCGTGAGCCTCGGCAGCCCCACACCGCGCCCTGCGCGCCCCCGCCCGCCCCGCCTCGCCGCCCCGCTGCCCCGAGCCCTCGGCCCGCCTGCCCCCTTGCCTTAACCGTCCCCTTTCTTCTGAAAACCCAAAAATAGATCCCTAGACTAAAAATAGCCGGGGCCGTGATCAATTCCGGGTCGATCCTCGCGTCCGCCCAGGCCTGCGGCTCCCTCCGCGCGCATCCCCTCCTGCCCGCTCCCCGCGCGCTCCCGGCTCCCGCGCCGCGCTGGCGCCGCTTTCCCGCTTCCTCCGTTCAGAATCGGCAGCGGGGAGAGAAGGGAGGGCCCGGCGCGAGCGCTGCGGCCTCCCCCGCGCTGCCTCCGCGTGGTCGCAGCCCCCGCGGGTCGCAGCCCCCGCGGCTAACTGGGCAACGCGACCCGGAATAGCCAGCCCCGGGGGGCGGTGAGGGCGGGCTGGAGGTCGCCGGCTTCCCAGCGCAGAGCTGCGGCGGGCCTTGGCCCTGTGCAGGAACCCTTCTTAACGGGGCGAGGGGCGGTGGGAGAGTGTGAGGCAAAACCTTAGCCATGTGGCCGCCCCCGCACCCCGCCAGGAGGCTGGTGGGGGGAGGCGGAAGGTGCAGAAAGCACCCCCTTCCCGAGTCAGGAGCCCGCCTGGCGCACTGCGGGCGCGCTCGGGTGGCATCACAGCTCCTCTCACGCTGGTGCCGGCTCCCGCATCCCTGCTACTGGCCTGCGGGCGGGCAGGAGGGGCTGCTCTCCCTGGGCTGGGGGAGACCACCCCTCTGCCTGTGCTCACCAGCCCACCCGTGCAGGCCAAAGAGCAAGCCTGCCTTCCCTAGCCCCAGGTGCCTGGGGGCCGCCCCCCTCCCTCCCCTCCCCGCGCCCGGGGAAGGCGGCAGGAGGGGCTGGACACTTACGTGCAGGCGGTCTGGATGTTGGTCTTGTCGTCCAGGCCCTGCGGGTAGTTGGCCATGCTGTCGCCCAGCTTGAGGAGACAGTCGGAGAAGCCCTTGAAGACAGCATCACACTTGCCCGCGGCCCGAACGGCCTGCACCAGGGAGGCTGCGGGATGGACACGGTCAGCCCCCGCCAGCCCAGAGAGGCTCCGCGAGCGGGACGAGGGGGCGGCTGGGCCCGCCAGCCGGTGACCCCCTCCCGGGTATCTTTTTCTGTCCCCACGCCCCCCCTTCTCACCTCCCCCGGCTTTTCTTTCCCTTCCTCCTCACTGCCTCCTTCATTCCAACACTTCCCCTCCGAGTCACGCTCTCCTGAGCTGAGGCTGGTGTGGGGGGGGGGGTGTTTCAGCAGGGCGTGGGAGGAGGGGGGTAGTGGCAAGGGGGCACAGCTCAACCTGACACCATAGGTGCTGAGAAAAGCCTGTCCCTGGCACCTCCTGAGGGCAGGGCGTTCAGGACACTGAATGAACAGATTCATCAAGTCTAAGCCGGCCAGCTCCGAAAGCTGGATTCCATATGAAACCTGCCCTCCCCTGCCCTCTCCGCCCCTCCCCCCTCCTGGTCTAGCAGGGGGTGGGGGCCAGGTTGGGATCTGCGGATAAGAGGCTGGGCTTCCCCCAGCCTTTCACCCCAGGAAACCGGCCACCATTGAAGCAAGCAGTGGGTGAGACCTTTCCTGGCCTCAGCCCTGGGCCCAGGGTTCTGATACCCCAAGCTGGGGGCACCAGCTGGGGCTCCCTCCAGAGACGGGTGAGAGAGCCTGGAGGAGGGAGAGGAGGGGGGTGGAGGAGGAGCAGGAGGGGAGGGAGACTGGGATCAGGGGCCGGGAGGAGGAGGAGGGGGCGGGGAGGAGGGGGGCCGGCCAGGGGTGGGGGAGGAGGGAGTTCAGGGGGGTGTTGCGGGGGAGGGGCCATCGGAGGAGTGGAAGGGAAGAGGGGGAGCAGGGACCACGGGATGGGGGGAGGAGACTGCAGAGGCATCAGGTTGGCCCACACCTGCAGGTGGGAGGGAGCAGCCAAGACCCGCAGCTGACCGGCCTTTCCTCTCCACCCCAGGCTTGTTCAGGAGTCCTGGGGCCCCGAGGAGGGGTCCCTGGCATGGCCAGAGAAGGCCCCATCTTTTTCAAATGCAAACGGATTCTGGCCGTGTTCCTGCGGTGCGGGTGTGTGCGTGTCCCCGAGGGACCCTGCCCTCCCTGCCCGCTCCCGCCCACACGCACAGGTCCCCACAGGGACAGGAAAGGTGACCGGCGAGCTGCAGCCCGGCCCCTCCTGCAGACTGCGGCGGCCCTGCGCCATCTAATCCGGAACGGGAAGTGCGGGGAAGGGACAAAGGTTCCCGGGGCCCAGGGCAGACCCGAGCAGCGTGGGTACCCCCCGGGTGTTGAAGGTGAAAGCGCCCGAGGAAGCAGCTCGGACCCGGAATCGCGTTCCAGGAAGCAGGTTCCAACCACACTGGGTGGCAGAGCTCGCTGGGCGCCACAAAGGCAGCCCTGCAGCACTCGGAGGAAGACAGCCCCCGCCCCCTCCTAGCCCCCAAACGCGGCTGGAGAGAAGCGCCCCTTCCAGGGCACTGAGGGTTTTTTAAAAAGGGAAATTGGGGCTTGCAGGGGAGAGAGGAGGCGGGCGGCTGGGCACGTTACCTCCCAGGCAGTGCCCCTCCACACCACGCGTGTGCGTGTGTGCGAAGCCTGTACGTTTGGCCCCTCCAGGAGCCGGCTGGAGGCCACTCTGCGGTCTCAGTCACAGTGCCCTTGGTGTCTTCGACCCAGGTTTCATGGGCTGGGGGGCGTGCATGCCAGACCCCAGCTCCTGCGCCCCCCATCCTGTGCCTCTTCCCTCCCTTCATTCATCTGTCCAACCTCTCATTCACTCCCAGCTCCTCAGTGTCCACCACCCTCTCCACCTCCGCTCCCCCGCCCCCCTTGCCAAATGTCAATGATTTGGGACAGCGCCCAGCCATGAATTAATAAAGACCCGGCTCGGGTGCGGGAATGGGGGGGTCTGCAGGCAAGGCTGCTCCTTCCAGCACCATGGGGCGGGCACACCAGGCCAGCTCAGAGGAGTTGTTCCAAGCTGACCCTACAGAGAGCAGAGTCCCAAACCTCCTCCACTTAAATCTTCCGATGAAAAATAACCATTGTCTTCAGCTCTGGACACAGGAGCAGGCTGGTGGGTAAATCCCACCTTCACACACAGTCCGGACACTTAAACAATTTAAAGGAATTAGAAAGAATTTTAAATTCACCGCAGCCCTTCACCTAAATATTGAGGGCTTGGAACACGCATATCCCAAATACCAAATCGTTTCTGAAAATCCAAAGAAAACGCCAACCCCCACATCCACTCTGTGCAACCTGCAAATGCTCCTGCAGAATGGACCAGCTACTCAAAATCAGGTCAGCGCGCGCCCCACTGCAAGGATCTGCTGGAATCTGCAGAACCCCCAAACCCTGTTTATTGCAGCTTTCATGTTTTTTTTTGGTGTGTGTGTTTTTTTGGGGGGGTGAGAAAAATTGTTAAACACATCCTCTCTTGCTGCACACCAACTCCCCGAAGCGCTCTGCCCCCAATACGGCAAGGGTTGTGTGCAGAGACACGGGAGGCGTGCGACAAAGCCCCGCTCCAGAAAGCGGTTCTCCCCACGTCCTTCCTAGCACTGATCTGCGGCACTGCCCCGTTAGACCCGCGGGAGACCACCGGCCCGCGGCGGGAAGGCGGGGTTCTCCCGCGCCCCTCTGCGATGGGGTAAAAAAACGTAAACTTTTAAAAAGCCCTTCAGCGTGCCACCGCGACTCAACATTCCTGAACATAAAATGGAGACGAAATAAAACCGGGGTCAACCCCGCACAAATAAACGAAGGAACAAGAACAGACGGCCGAGGTGCGCCCGGCGCCCGGCCTCTCCTGCAGGGGGGCGAGGGGCGCGCACCGGCCGGCCGCCCCACGGGCCCCGCGCACTCGAGAGGCCCTGCAGCCCGCCCGGGGTGGGGGCGCGCGAGGATGACAAAGTTCCCCGCGCGGCGGCCCGCGAACTTCCCGCTGTCGCCTGGACTCCGAGCCCGCATCGCCTCTGCACCTTCCGAAGCTGCCTGGCAGCGCTAGGGAGGGAGGGAGGGGGTGGTTCTGACCCAAGGGAAGCGGGAGACGGACGTGCGCTTTCGGGGAGACAGGGGGACCCTCCTGCGAAGAAGGCGGGAACATACGTTTCCAGGGGTCCGCGGGAGCCTCCGAAGGTCCCGCCCGGGACGCGCGGGTCTGGCGCGGTCCTCGCGCTCCCGGTGGGCGTCCCGGGGACCCGCCGCTCCGCCCGGCCACTCACCGATTTGCACCGCGAGGATGAGCGAGACGCATCTGCCGTTCAGGTAAAGTCCCATCCTACGTGTGGTCACACCATTTGCGGCCGCAGCCCTTCACTCAGTTAGTTTGGAGAACGCGGGCGAAAGCTGGAAAACAGGCATTGCCGACAAGTTCCGGGGCGCGGGGACTTTATGCGCGGCGGGCGCGGCGGAGGGAGGAGAGACGCGCGCCGAGCGCGGCCACGGCGGCGGGGGGCGGGGGCGCCGCCAATGGTGCGCTCGGGCGGGGGGCGGGGAGCGCGGCGGCCGCCCACGGGCAGGCCTGGCGCGGGGGCCGGCTCCGGGGAACGCGCGCGCCTCCCCGGGATGACCGCATCCCCAACCCGCGGCTCCCCTCCCCGCGCGGAGCCGGGGAGTCCTGGCGCGCCCACTCGGTCGTTTCCACCCGGTGTCCCTCCCGCTCCCGCGCCGGCCCCGACCCTCCCCACGGGGGCGGCGGGGCTTAAAGGCGCAGAGTCGGGGAGGGCGCGCGGGGGGCGGCGCGCGAGGCCCTTCCCCCGGTCACCCTCGCCGGCCCGCGGCCGAGCCGGGGCGCAGCCTGCGGCGCAGGGGCGCACGCTCGGGGTACCCCCACGCCCGCCCGCCCGGGGACCCCGAGGGTGCGGTGGGGGCGGGGAGAGAGCAGAGGAAGCCACCGGCTGCGCATTCGATTTTCGGCTCCCGGAGAGGGACTAGGCTCGGAGCTTTAGGAAATTTCCGAGGCGCTCGCTCGCGCGTATGCGGGCCCCGTCGCCACCCCCACGCGTCTCCCGGGGAGTGTGCGGGGCCGCGCGCACGCGCGCATCACGTCGCACGCGCGCCCGGGCCCGCGCACACCTGCACCGCCGCGGTGCCCGCGCGCCCGGCTCCGCGGCTCCGCGCCCGCCAGGTGCCAGCCGCGACGGCCGGGCTCTCCGGGGCCCCCGCGTCTGCGCCCCACGCAGCCTCCCGGCTCGCGGGCTGCAGGAGGCCTGGCCTGTGCAGGCCCGCGCGCGGCGGTAGCAGAAAACGAAAAGAAGGCGCCCCCACCCGAAATGCCCCACAAAGGCGGGGGGGACAGCGCGTTCTGGCGAGGCCGCTGCGGGGCGAACGAACCACGGCGCCCCTGCACCCTCAGCCCCGGGGGCTTCCAGAGTCTGGGCGAGACCCGAGGGCTGGGACGGCCGCGGGGTGGGCAGCCCGGCGGGCGCGGGGCGGGGGGCCTGGCTCTGGCGTCGTGGCCGCGCCGGGTTCCGCGGCTGCCTCCGCGTACCCGGCCTCGGCGCAGAGGCTCGGACCGTGGGCGCGCGGGGGCGGGCCGGGCCGGTGGCGAGAGGGGGGCGTGGCGTGGATCCGCCCCCGACCTCGTCCAATAGGCGGGTAGGGGCCAGCTCGGGGGCGGGGACGGGGGTCCCGGTCCTGCGCCCCGCCAGCCCTGCACCTCCAGCCTCCCACCGGCCCCGGTGCGCCCCGACCTTCCCGTCCGCGCCCTGCCCCACGGATCTTCCCAAACACAGCTTTCCGCGTGTGCCCTCGAGCCCTGCCCTGCGGACCGAGCTCGGGGCGTGGCGGTGATGGGAGTGCGCAGCGCCCCCGGGACCCCCCGGCGGAGGGAGCCGGGTGCAGAGCCCGAGCGCGCGCACGGCTTCCCCTGGGGGTCTCCCCTTGCGGAGCTGCCCAGTGCCTTGGGGCAAGGGCGCGGAGTGGGGGGCGCAAACGAATTCAGGGGCGCCTCCGTTTGGCCCCCAGCAGCGAGTAAGCTTCTCACAAGCAAAGGGGAGTGTGGACGGCCCTGGGGGCGGGGGCGAGGGGCGGGGCCTGTCCTGTGGACGTGGCGCTCCTTCCCCTGCAGTCCCTGCTGCAGCTTAGGGGCTGCAAGCTGCTGGCCCCCCCAGAACGCTGCCCCCAGCCCTGGCTTGCATCGTCAGCCCCTTACCCCCCTCCTATGCGCCACGTCCCACAGGGAGGCTGAGCGCGGGGCGAGCCCTGCTAGGCACGAATGGGCCTTCCTGCACTGCCTGGGGAGGCCCAGCTCCCCAAGCCTGAAAGCTTGTTTGTCTGAAACCAGCACGGGCCTGTTCCTGCCCCATCATACCTACAGGCGCTTGGGGTGAAGGGCGGAAAAGAGAAGCGATTTCCTCTCAAAAAATCATTTTCCCAATTACAGGTTGTTCTGCAGCGGGGCGCCCTGCCAGGCTGTCCTCGCCTGTGCCTTAATTAAAGGTTCAGCCACGGCCCACGGGATGTGCAGAGGCAGCTGGGTGAGGGGCGGTGGCCGCCCTGGCTCCTATTTCCCTAGGAGTCTGCAGGCCTGGGCCCAGGGTCCCCCTGGTGCCCACTGCAGAGGCCTGCTGGGCTTCAGGAATGAGCCCAGCCTCCCGGCCAGTCTCGAAGGAGCACAGGCTCTTTTCCCCAGAACTGCCGGGAAACGGTAGGCTGATGTCAAGCCAGCTTTCACAGATGAGAAAGGGGCGTGCAGCACCCCCTGACCTCCCAGGACACTCCAACGCCCGCTAACCTGTGTCTGTGGGTGTGGGAGCAGCTGCCAAGGCCTTTGGAGGGGGGAGCTGGGTCCCCTTCCTGGGAGGGGACAGCTCAGGCTCTGGCCACTACAGTGACGTGGTAGAAGCTCCTTGACGTTGATGGTCGTGTGGGCGCTGGCCGTGGCGCAATGTTTGAGCAAGGGGCTTCCTGGACATCAGCGGTTCTTGAAAGGACAGTGCCTTATCCTGAAGCATGCACACCGAACCGTGTATCCAAGGACACCACGGAGCCCCTGTAGGGACACCTGCCTTCAAGGCATATGAGCACAGGCAGCCCGGGTCCGTGGGGACAGCCCAAGGTCTGTGGGGGCACCTAGGGGTCTGTGGAGTCAACCTGGGCTCCGTGGGGTCGACCTGGGTACGTGGGGTGAGCCAGCTTCTCTGGGGTGCTGGGAAGGTTAGGGTCAGGTTTCCTGGGGAGAGTCAGGGGGACCTTGTGTGTGTTCTGAGACTACCCACCTCTCACCTGTCTCCGCATTTGTGCCGACCCTCCCCAGGAGGGATCATACCTGGCGAGGCTCAGAGCCCCTCACCACGCCAGGTGTCGAACCTGCATTGGAGGTGAAAGGCGAGATCCCCCCGGTCCTGTCCCCAGACCCTCTCCTTTCTTGACTTAAGTACCTAAACTCGTGAACCCCAGGGGTTCCCATGTCCTGCACACCTGGGTTGTGGGTTCCCATGTCACACACCTGGGCTGTGGGTTCCATGTAAAATACCTGGGCTGTGGGTGTCCATGTTATTCACCTGGGCTGTGGGTCCCCATGTCCACACATCTGAGCTGGTGCAGATTCCCCGTTGTGGACTCTCCCCTGGTCAGGTGTGGTCTCCAGTTCTCTGTCCCTTTGCTGATCCTCACATGGTGTTGCAGCAGTGAGAACTCGGGCTTGTAACTGCCCTTCTCCAGAAGCACCCGGTATCCCACAGCCTCTTGGTCAAGTGGGCATGCTTCTGAATGGGTCTTTCTTTCCAGTGACTGAAACGTTTCATCGGTAGACAGCTATTCTCTCTTACCTAACAGTTTCCTGCTTCAGTCCAGTTTATATGATCAAAATATCTTTGAGCCAATTATTTGTTGGTTAATGCACCTTGCTTTCTTCGATTTTTCATTGAACTTTGGCCTGTCCATATGCTTTTAGTCAATCTTTTAAGGTGCATGCAAATCAGTGTTTGAAACCCCACTGTGACATATTTATCTTTTATTTTTGGAGGGGGGTTGTCAACCCTTTCTGTGTTCAGGGCTCATTCCCGGGTTTCTGCTCAGGGGTCACTCCTGACTCTGTGCTCAGGACTGACTCCCGGCTCTGTGCTCAGGGCTGACTCCCGGCTCTGTGCTTAGGGCTGACTCCCAGCTCTGTGCTCAGGGCTCACTCTTGGCTGTGCTCAGGGCTGACTCCAGGCTCTGTGCCCAGGGTTCACTCTGGCTTTGTGCTCAGGGCTGACTCCTGGCTCTGTGCTTAGGGCTGATTCCCGGCTCTGTGCTCAGGGCTCAGTCCTGGCTGTGCTCAGGGCTGACTCCCGGCTCTGTGCTCAGGGCTCACTCCTGGCTCTGTGCTCAGGGCTCACTTTCGGCTCTGTGCTCAGTGCTGACTCCCGGCTCTGGGCTCAGGGTTCACTCCTGGCTCTGTGCTCAGGGCTCACTCCTGGTGGACTTGGGGGGGATCAAATGGGGAGCCGGGAATCAAACCCGGGTTGGTGCATGCAAGTGCCCTGCCCACTACACTTGTCCTCAGTCCCTATTTTTCTCTCTTTTGACTGGTGTGTCTGCTCCATTCACGCACGTTGTTATTATTGACTTGTTTAGGCTTGCTTCTGCTATCTTTAAATTTTAGTCTATCTCATCTTCAAGTTGTAGATCCTTCTAATCATTTCTTCAATATTTTGAATTGATATTGACATATTCTCCCAAATAACACAAAACAGTGAGTCCTTTTTCTCCTTCAGTTCCCGCTCCTTCCTTGGACTATCACACTGGTGTTATGTGAGCTTTTAAAAATGCTTTATGGCAGGGATGGGCAGATGCCCAGCGTGCTCACATGCCCTGTCCTGGGCTTGACCCGTCCCTCTGAGGCCCCCCGAGAACTGTGGACGCTGCTGGGGATGGCCCCACCCCCACCCAGCTTTCTCTTGCAAAAATCACAGATTCGCAGGAGCCGAATTGGAGTATTCAGCTCATTTCCGCTCCACGTAGCCAGCAACGCGTGTGGGTTTAGAGCCGCATTGCTGTGTGCTTTCTCTTGGTCTCGGCTGTGCTTGGGGACTGGGAGGCGGGTGGGCTCCCGGCCCCTCCCCCCGCCCCCCGCCTTCCGTGGTGCTTCCGCGTCTCAGAGCCCCTCAGCCCCTCAGCCCCGTGCAAGTCATTCGCTACTCATTTGGATTCTTACGCATGAATATTTGTCTCCTCTCCCTCATTTATTTATTATTTGGCCACCTCGTCACATCCGCGAGGCTCATCAATATTTATGCACTCGCTGAACGTGAAGCGCTGCCTGTGCCGAGCCAGCCGGGCCGTGGAACCTCCCTCTGTTGGCGCCCGTGTGGCTTTGGCAAACCCCGTTTCCTTTGTTCCTAGAATCCGCCGTTTTGCCCAGAAACTCCGGCCCTTCTTAATGCCAAAGAAATCAGAGGTCAGGCTCCGAGACTGGGCGTGTTTGCTGCAGCCGAGACGTCGCTGCTCTCAGGCCTCCGGCCGGTCACCCAGGAAGTATCCTGAGGTGCTCCGGGGTGCAGCCCTGCTGGTCTCGTCCACACCAGGCACTGCCCTTGGCGGCGGGGGCGGGGGGGTTTGTTCTTGCCCCTCGGCACATTCTCTGTGGTGTCCATGCCTGGAATTAGCGGAGGGGTGGTCCCGGCTGCCCCGCCCCTTGGCG